CTTGTTGTCTTTGTGGGTGGGATGTCATCATTTATGACACATTATATCAAATATGAACGCCCTGTTATATGCTATTCAGAAGTAATCACCGAAGTTGATTTTTTTGAAAATTAGGTAATCGTGAAGGGCAGGTCAAGGGGTAATAAATCATAGCTTGCTCGGATATATCTTGCCACAAGTAATACGTCTTAAATATAAAACCCTATTTCTTTTCTATCAAGAGTTAGATCTATAAGGAAAAAACAACATTTTTGAAAAAAAGTCAAACTTCAAGGTCACAGGGTCAAATCATAAGGTGTTTAGAAAAGTCTTGTCGTAGGTAATGTACATGTGAAAGCTCTACATCTTCTCATCCAAAATTATGACCAAGGTTAAAGTTTTTGAAAAGTATGTCAAACTTCAAGTCAAGGTCACAAGGTAAAAAAATCATAATGTATTTAGAAAGGTCTTTTCACAGGCAATACACGTCTCGCATATAATGTAAAAGCCCTATCTTTTCTTATTCAAAAGTTTTGGCCAATTTAGAGTAATCATAAAATGTTTGAAAAGTATGTCAAACGTCAAGGTCACGGGGTCAAAAAAGTGCATATAGAAAGTTCTTGTCACAAGTAATACACATATGTAACATGAAAGTTCTCTTTCATCTAATTCAAAAGATATGGGCAAGGTTAAGGTTTTATGACAGACGGGCAGCTAGATAGACCTACAGACTGACAGACGAATGATATTTAATGTCCCCTCGCTTTCGCAAGAGCGACAGACAATAAAAGGCAAACCATGTACACATTTAAGGACCCTCTCTACACATGTACAAGTGCAATTTTTTTTTTTTTTTTGGACATTGAGAAAAATATATTGTATAAAGAAGTTAATATTGAGCTGATTTATTTAATTTTCAATGTATGGTGCGTAACATTTACCCCCGGGAAAAATGTTCAAAGATAACACAGTATCAGTGAATAGAAATCGCTGTTAATTAATTCAATAGAGAAAATACATGTAAATAACACTTTCAGTTAAATTATCTCGGCCTTTCAAAATGTTGAGAATACTTGAATTAATTACAAATTGAGAAATATTGTGTAAAGTCTATTTTTTAGAATTTAGATCTAAGGGCAGATCATTCTAACTGCAGAAAAATACTAGTACCTTAGAATCAGAACTCTTTAGTGTGCAGTGTAGAGAGGGTTCTTAATTGCCACAAAATTTTAATCAAAATCTTAACTTTTTAGCACCAATTGGATACATTACAAGCAGTCATAAGAGCTGTAAGAACGATAACGGATCCATTTCAGTCAAAAGTTCAAACATTTTATTTTTATGAACATAAATTGGCGTATTTAAAAGATGATAGGGGAACAAAGCGTGCAGAATGTCAACTATTTGGCAAAGAAAAATTCATACATTTTTGTTTTAAAATTTGATAATTTTTGTACATCTTTATGCTGTAAATGTATTATATTTAGCGTGTACGATATTTAGCGTAAAATGATTTTTTAACAACTTAGCGTACATTTGATTTAGCGCATTTCTTGGTGTTCCTATTCATGTATCAATGTTTAAGACATTTAGCTGTGGACTTGAATTAGCGGAAGTATTTTTCCTCCAAAAGTGCTAAAAAGAATACACCGCCAAATGTAATACGTTTACAGTATGTAACTCTTCTTCTGAAGGAGATCAAAATAGTCTGAAATGGCCATAACCACCCCACCTAGCCTAAATTTTCAGATTCGAATTTTAATATATGCCTCGTGATGAGTTGTGGCATTTAAATCGGGTTTATGATATGACCCTTGACTTGATTAGTGGACTTAAATTTATTTCTCAGAAAGATCATGTGAATGTTTTGTCATAATAGTATACTTTTACGGTATAGTTGGTCTCCATACTTTTGTAAACTAAAAAATGTATAGCCTATTATGTTGAAAAATCTGAGGATTATCGTTAAAAAAAAATGGAGCAAAGACCCACTGACATCGAAAAAAATTTGTTAAAGTTTTGAGAAAATGATCTTTTTGTAGTCTGTGCGGAGGCGAGAGCTGAGCTCGAGCGGAGACCCGCCCTTGTCTCCGATTCTGTGGGAAACGAGTACATGTATTCTAAATGACTTGTGACATGGCCTTTCTTATGACCTCACTAATTTACATGTGTATTTGGGAAGATATCTGAACCTATCAGACAATTTTGCAGAACGTTGATTTAGTATTCCATTTTAAGCAATCGCATCTGAAATATCAAGTGAGGTAGACGTACGTGAAGGTATCATTCACAGGCCCTGCACTTGTTTCGGAAATAAATTTTTAACCCATGGTATAATAATAACACAAGGTATCTAACTCCGAATTACACTCAGTACCCCCCTCCTCCTCAGAAACGCATTTAAATTTCAGAGAAAATGCAATGGCAATATTTATTACCATTGGGTGGGTGGGTAGGAGTAGTCGTTGACTTCCAAATCTTCTTCATACCTATTTATACTTATGACTTTTCATACCAACTTAACCTTATCCAAGTTTTGAGGGGGTCTGCGTTTTCTGGGGGGTGGGGTGTCCAAGGTCACTTTTTACTTGGTATAGTATATAAATTTAGTATCTCTGAAAATTCCAGGGGGGTCCTCTAGATCCGCGCATGGGACTGAGAATAGAAATTTACAATGTAAAGTTACTTGTGGTGGATTCAAATAAAATTAGAAAGGAGGGAGTGGGGCAGTATACAAATGGTTTTCTTATAAAAACTGGAAAATCGAGAATCATAATCAGGCCTGACACTATGTGCGTGATCGTAATTATGATCAAAAGCGTATACAAGTTTAGCAAACATAATTTACGAAAGCCAAAACGAATGAAATCGAAAGTTGGGGGGGGGGGGGGGGGGGTTTGCACGCGCGACAGTGCTGGATCCGCCTTTTTGTTTCAAACATGAAGGTTATATACCTTGGCCTTTCTTTCATTCGTTTATTTTAATTTGGAGCCAAGTATTTATGTGTTTACGCATAATTGACGAACGGTCGATTAAATTGTCGAACATTTCTCTCAGAATACAACCTCACCGAAACATTTTTTCTTCAAATACATTCCCACATTATTCATAAAATATTATCAAAATATTCTGCACTATGTTCGTAGCTTAAATTTAATAAAATAATACCAGCAAGATCTAAATAGTGATATATGTACCAGCACTTCCGCCTCACTCGGTATTTTAGTTGCGATTGCTTAAAAGGGGATACTAAATCACCCCTATCCTTATTTCTCTCCGCGCAAGGAGGCATACAAGACCTGGACATCTCTTTTCTACTGGGGTCGGTCTGAGGCTGCATGGCGTACCGTGTTCCAGGAGTTCCACCGGCATTGTTCTGCTCCACCTGCACCATCCGCCGCCATGTCATTTTTGGGCGACCTCGCTTCCTTCTCCCTTCAGGCGTCCATCCGAGGGCAACAACACAGTCATCCGTGGAATTCTTTCTAAGCATATGGCCGATCCAATTCTATCTCCCCTTCCTCACCTCGCCACTAATGCTTTTTGCTTCTGCCATCTCCAAAACTGTCTTGTTTGGATAGGCTGCTACCATCTGACTTTAAGGATCCTTCTGAGACACTTGGTCTGAAAGTGCAATTTTCTTTTCCTCTGTCTTGGTAAGCTTGTAAGTCTCACATCCGTATAATAATACAGAGAGGACCAGGCTCTTTCTGCTGATGTGTGTAGTGTTCCAGATGTTGGCTAGCCTCCTGAAGGATGCACCGGCCATAGTTATCCTCTTCCTGATGTCAGCAGTTCCTCCTTCATCCTTGGTGACAATTGCGCCGAGGTATGTGAAGCTGTCCACCTCGTCGGCTTAGCTGTTTCCAACTGTCAGTCCTGCTATTTATCTTCATCACTTTACACTTCTTGGCATTAAGCTTCAACCCAACTTTTGTGGAGTATTCCTCCAGTTTTGTTGTCTGAGGCAACTTGGTTCATTGCTAAATACAGTAGTACAATGTCGTCCGCAAAGTCAAGGTCTTCAAGCATAGTGGTAAAGTCCCATCTCATTCCTGTTTCCTTTTCTCTGACAGTCTGTTGCATCACCCTATATCACTGAGAGGAACAAGAAGACTGATATGCAGCATCCTTGCTTGACACCAGTCATCACAGGAAAAGGGTATGTGGTATGTGGTCTCGTTGTCACCAATCACAGAGCACTGAAAATTGTCACACAGTGCTTTGACCATCGTAATCACTTTTCTGGGTATTCAATACTTTTTCATGATTACCCAAAGGCTGTCTCTCTGCACCGAATTGAAAGCTTTCTCAAAGTCCACAAAATGGATGTACAGTGTAGCAATCCACTTGTTGACTTGTTCCAGGATATTCCTGAGATTAAAGATCTGGTAGACAGTCCCTCTCCGAGACCCTGCCTGCTTTTTCCTCAGGGTGCGGTAATCTCCAGCCTGTATTCTGTTAATGATGATCCTGCTGAGTGCTTTGCTGGCTAGGGGGCCAGTTTAGTTGCTGCAGTCCTGTAAGTTGCCTCTTTTGGGAATTTTACAGATCAGTCTGTTGGTCCGTTGTTTGGCCACCTTTTCCTCCTTCCATATCTGGTCAAAGGTGTGCTTCAATTCCTGGCTGCTCTTAACAAGGCCTGCCTTTAACATGTCTGCAATTATTTATTCTACTCCAGGGGCCTTCCGATTCTGAAGCGTCTTCAGTGCAGCCCTTATTTCCTGTGTGGCGAGTGGCTCAACCAAGATGTCTAGCTCTTCTTCCTCCTCATGTTCATCTTGTGATGGTGACTCTGGAGTGTCTCTGTTGAGTACTTCCTCAAAATGTTCCCTCTATCTGGCAAATCCCGCTTCTTTATTTTTCAGCAGCTCTCCATCTTTGCTCTTCGTCGCTACTTTTGTTTATTACTCTTTCTTGTCAGCTGTTTTACTATGCTGTACACTTTCTTCTGCCTCCCGTTCTCGGCTGCTTTCTGTGCTCGCTCAGCTTTCTCTGCCATCCATCTCCTCTTGTCCTCACTAGCATTTTTCTTGACTGCTAAGTCTTTCTCCCTGTAATTTTCCTTCAACCTTGACTTTTCTGATCTTGTGCTCTCTATCTTTGTTTTGATGTCATTTGCCTTCCCTAGTACTTCCTCTGCTGAGTTCACATATGCCATCTTCTGCTGTTCCCAGATTTTCTTGATATCTTCCGTCTTTTCCATGTGCTCTTCTAATTTCTTTGTGAAACAGTCATTGAACCTTGCTTTACTTCGTTGTCTTGAGTCGTTCCACATCCAGTCTTGGTTTCAACTTGTTCTTATTCTTGTGTATGCTGGGCCGTAGCCTGATTCGGGTCTTCGCCAGGTAGTCTGAACCTTGGTGTAAAGAACTGAAGATCTCCACTGTCTCATGATTAGAAGATGGTGGATCTGGTTTTTCACTGTTCCAGTAGCAGACACCCATGCTGCTTTGTGTATGCCTTTGTGGGGGAACAATGTTCCTGTGATTACAAGTTTTGGTCTGATTGAATTCCCAAAGTTTTCTTAGTTTTCGTTTGTTTGGCTGTCACAAGATATCTAGTCTGACGCTTGGTTTCCTAAGATTTTCACTCCTCGTCGTCTTACTGCCACTATTGGCTTTCCCCGCTTCACCCGGTCTTCTTTGCTAATGTCCATTGTTTCTGTAAGTGTGTTTTTCCCGGGAGGACGTAGCGGCCTCCTGCCCAACCCCGAAGCTTGGAGGACCAGTGGTTTTCTGTCAGGGTGTCCCTCACTTATGCTGCGTTGGTCCATGGCACCTTCTTTAGTCTATCTGGTGCACCCCTCACTTAGTGATCCCCTATCTGCCACCCGGGGGTCGTGCCTCCTAGCCGTGCAGCCCCAGCCGAAATAAAGGGATACTAAATTAACTTTCTGCAAAATCATCTAATTGGTTATGAGATACGTACCCAATTACACATGTTACAGATGTATATAAATTAGTGAGGTCATAAGAAAGGTCATGTCACAAGTCATTTAGAATATCGCTCTCGCCTTAAACCCCAGTCACATTTCCAAAAAAGACCAACGGCCGACGGGTTTTGAAGCAAAAATGGGATTCTTCGGGTGACAGTCGTCAGTTCATCGGCCGTTGTGTTCGCCGATTTTGACCTCTTTTTTTGTCGGCCGACCAATTTTGTGTCCATCGGTCCAAGTTATAATTTTGTATGCGTCGGTGGCCGATTCCTTCAATTAAGAAATAAATAACAAGTTTATAAACTTCAATGGGAATTGAAGTGGGTCGGTCACGTGATCAAATCCTGTGAAGGCCGAAGACTGCATGTCTTTTTTATTCAATAAAAAATGCCGATCAAAATTAATTTTAGTGTTGTCGTAAAAACACTAAAAGCTTACTTTGATTTTGTAGAAGAGATAATTTCATTGGCAGAATTGATTCCAAACTCAGGATGATCGCTGACGTCATCAGCAAGGCGCTCGCCCTTAAGGAGCTGAATCTCTGCACTCTGGGACTTTACAACCTGTTTTAACTGATGCAGCTCGAGATCCTGTTCATCAACCCGAGACCTTAATTCCGAGAGCTCTTCTAACACACGTTGTATCACGAGATTTTCATCTGCAAAGACAATTAAACTACAAAGAAGCAAAATAAAAGAACAAAGTGTTATATTTGCCATCGCAATAGCTAGGTCTTCAAGTCCTTATTATAAGTTTCTCGTTTGTCATACAGTCTTCGGTAGATAAGTTGTCGATTATCTGTGTATGTATGCTAAAAGGTCAATAAATGTATATATGTTATTGTAGCAGCGCATTGTCACTTTATATAAATTTTATGCTAAATCGGGAATTAATTCAACGAAAATATTTTCAACTTAAAAAATGTGCCTAAATAAGCCTGTTTCAAATTTTTTCGTGTTAGGACAGATCACTACAACATAAAAAAAATAAAATTTACTGATTGCACTTTTCTGCATGCGGTGTTTGGATAAACAATGTCTTCCAGCATAACTTTTGATTCATATAAATCTATAAATATTGTGCGAGATTACGCGGGAATTTTTTTACGTTTACTCTCGGACGAGTTCACGTTACAGATTTACGGCGCAAGGTTTTGGCAGATTTTTTTTCCATTTTCCAGCATTCGTCAACCAATAACCTTTCGCTACCTTATTCTAGGAACATTATTTAACTCATCTGTATATTTTATTCACCTTCCAAAACTTTATAGTCGTCTCTAAAGCGATAAACTCGCTTGATTAGAATTGTCTGCAATCCTGTCAAACTTCAAGAGGTCAAATTTGGTGGTACCTAGGAATACAGCTGTGAAATTCGAAAGTCATGACCCCACCCACTCAAAAGCTGCGAGCAAGGTTTAAGTTTTTGCTGACAAACAATCAAACAGACAGACGGACGAATAGGGCAAAAACTATATACACCCAAATCTTCGATTACGAGGGTATAAAGATTCAAAATTTTGCAGAGGACAATATTTACTGGATATATTTTTCTCATTAGATTGTACGTAATTTAACACGTAGGTTAATGCAGATTGATTTACATATATCTTAACAGTTGAACTTCAGTATCTTAAACACTAATATCTCGAATCGATTTGCAAGTGTCAACTATTTCTTCCCTTTACCCATTATCAATCTCTCTCTCTCGTTTTTTTTTATCCCTTTAAGTAATATATATACGAGGGTTGATCCGAAATTTCGTTGAATTTCTTACTATTTATTGTGAATCGATGAAAGCAAACAATAGACATATTTATGTCTTCAAGTGCTCGGCAGGCTCACCGCAGCTAGTTTTTGCTTAGTTTGCCATAGATTAACTCAAACACATTCAAAGAGATGAATAATGTTATTTATTTAAATGACGATATAAAAGAAAATACTTTATACAACAGAATGGGGATCAGACTCACAAGCTCCGATTAAAATTACGTAAAATATGAAAAATGTCTGATCCCCTAAAAAATGACTAGAAAAAATTCCTTTATAATAAAAGAGTTATTATGCAACAATACTGAAAATTTACCAAGTTCCCATTACTAATACGGTCACACAAGCTTTCTGAACATGGACAGTTGTAAAATCCGGGGGAGACTCGACGTAACATCAAGTTAAGTATGTCACGTCACGTAATAGGAGTATCCCACCCTCATGTCTAATTCTACTAAGTAATTCTACAGAATTTTGCAGAGACAATATTTACTGAATATATTTTTCTCATTAGATTTCCCAAATTACAATTTTATACACGTGTCTTTTGGGAGATCGAAAATGAAGTCTTACTCGTACATTTAATAATGTCATTGAAAAATTAATCTTCTTTTCATTTGTTATTGTTTTTAAGGAAAAAAAAGAATATTTTTGATGGCACAAGGTGCCAAATCTATCAAAAATGATGGTACGTAATTTAACACGTAGGTTAATGCAGATTGATTTACATATATCTTAACAGTTGAACTTCAGTATCTTAAACACTAATATCTCGAATACCATGCGTAAGTCGAATCGATTTGCAAGTGTCAACTATTTCTTCCCTTCATCCATCATCGATCTCTCTCTCTCGTTTTTTTTTATCCCTTTAAGTAATATATACGAGGGTTGATCCAAAATTTTTGAATTTCTTACTAAATTTTATTGTGAGTCGATGAAAGCAAATAATAGACATATTTATAATAAAAGAGTTATTATGCAACAATACTGAAAATTTACCAAGTTCCAATTACTAATACGGTCACACAAGCTTTCTGAACATGGACAGTTGTAAAATCCGGGGGAGACTCGATGTAACGTCAAGTTAAGTATGTCACGTCACGTAATAGGAGTATCCCACCCTCATGTCTAATTCTACTAAGTAATTCTACAGAATGCTGCCCTTTCCTCCATTCTTTTTCTAAAAAAAAGGCCTGGGTACAAGTATCCTCTCGCTCCGACATATCTTCATTTTACTGTCATATTTCAAAAATACTCCCCATCTTTCTATATTATGTTGCAATTCCAGTAGCAATGTCAAACACAGTACGCCAGCGGTCAACATCTATCAACTCTCAGGTGCGGATCCAAAAATTTTTTATCCAGGGGGGTCCACCCAATCACCTATTCGCGTTTACCAGGGGGGAGGGGGAAGTCAGCGTTTTCCAAGGGGGGTCCATGGTAACTCTTTTTCTTGCTTTAGTATATACATTTTTTAACCCTGTAAATTCCAGGGGGGGGGGTCCTGACCCCCCTCCCCCGACCCCCCTCTAGATCCGCGCATGAACTCTTTTATTAATTACAGGAAGTTCAGACCCTCCAAAAGACAGTCACTCCAATAATCAACCTCCATTGAAGTTCTGTTTTTCTTAAAATACTTACCACTGTACAACCAGTTGCTGAATGCATTTTAACCCAGCCTTTAGCAGTACGTAGTACCGGTAAGTCAGAGTGTTCCCGAAATTTTCACAAAACTTATAACTTGACCGAAATTTGACGTTGTCTAACAATTTAAAGATGAGCAATAATTCATCAACTAACTTGGGTCATGTTTGTACAAATCTGAATCTGCACTACCTGACGATGAGGATGCTACCAAATAAGTTTCAAGTCTTCTGGCCCAGTGGTTGTTGAGAAGATTTTTAAAAGATGCTTGAATTTTTTTTCCACTAATCTGTAAAATTTTATCTCTCCTTGGGAAAAGCCCTTCATTTAAACAAAATTGAATCTCCTTTATCCAAGGATACTGTGTGACAAGATGTGTTGAAACTGGTTTAATGGTTCTCGAGAAGAAATCTCACTAAAGCCTTTGGCATAGGTGTGTTAACTTTTGTAAGAATTGTCTTTAATTGATAATACGTTATAAAAATATTCATGCTTAATTTTCTAAGAATTGCAACACAAAATCTTGTTTATATACGCATTGTATATTTACTAGCTCTATATTTTTGGAAATTTGAAACTTGCACAAATTTGCAACACTTGTGCAACCTTGATTTACTGATGATTCGTTTCTTGACAATATATCAATAGTTTACTACATATATACATTCTGAGATTCCATATCAATATTTTTTGATACAGTAATCATGTTCACATCTGGCTCCTGGATCATAAAACAAACTTGGACTTAAGTCAAATTTTAAACATGCTGTAAAATATTTATAATTGTCAATTTAATAAAGGCCCCGCAAGGATTTGCGGGTGCCCTATAGTAATCACTCTGTTTGTCTGTCTGTCTGTCTAGCTGTCCGTCTACCATTCTTCCGTCCACAAATTTTCTGTTTTTTTCTAATAACTTTTTTATGGTTTCCCAATTAAGTTCAAATTTGGTATGGTAGTTCAGTAGGCAGAAAGACATATTTTAATGTTAAGATTGGTTCTCTCTGTCTTCTGGTTTGGTGCTGAGATGGTGGGGTAGATTCCTTAACTGTGCATAATAATAAATGTGCAAAGAGAGATAACTGCTGAGAATGTTCCTATTGTAAACTATGAAAGCTGTGCAATGAGTCCCTTGGGATCAATTAACCATCCACCAGAAAGAAATCATAATCATTGTCTTTATCTGTCACATTGAGACTAATTAACCGCCTCTGGCTGCAAATGAATTTTGTTTTGAAGTTAAGGTCAGTTTTGAATTATGTGTACATTCTTTGAAATATAAATTTAAATAATATGCATACTTTATTTTGGTTATAGCACTGTACACACTGAGCTATGATTTATTGAATTCCAAAAACAAGATACATATTAAAAGTTTTGGGACACAGATTTGAAGTTAATATCTTCTGTATAATATTACGACTTATAAATTTTAATAGCTTCTCACACAAAAATAAATTAAAAATCTTATTTCATCTAAAAGTTATTAAAAATTCAAATTTTTAGACGAGTTTAATTGACACATCCTTGCAATTTCACAAATTTTAGTTTTATTCTTAATACTTAGGAAAAGTGGCAATCTTGTTGTGTATAAAAGAAAAATATTAAAACTATAATCCAAAAAATTCAGGGTAGAAATGTTCGAAAGCAAAACATACACACAATTTATTGTCAGTCCGTTCAGTTGTGGTGAGCAGACTTTAATAATTGAACGCACCCGGTGAATTGTAAACATCAACAATAACAGAGCTCGTGCCCTGTTTACGAAAACTGTGTACGTTCCACGGGTGTTATCAGTTTGCTTAGCTCTGTACGCAATACGAATAAAAGTAAAATTTGTGAGAATGCAAGGATATGTCAATCAAACCCATCCAAAAATTTGAAGTTTCAATAACTTAAAGATAAAATACAATTTTTAATATATTTTTGTGTGAAATGCTATTAAAATAAATAAGTCGTGATATTATATAGAAAATATATCTTCAAATCTGTGTCCATGCACCTTTAAGTTATTCTTTTTTAGCATTATTTATTGTTTAATTATTTTTATATTTTTGCCGCCTTAATGCTGTTAATTTTAACAGGTAATCAGATAATAACCCCATCCTGTCATTGCTGAAAAAAATTCTTTTAGAAGAAAAGGATGAGAGAGCAGAACAATAAGTCCCCTAGGATAAATTATTTTGTTTGCTGCAGAAAATTTTTAGGCTTATCTTCATCTGTCACATGAAGACCTTTGTCTTCAACTGATGTTTGTTTTGAAGTTGAGGTCAACCCTGGGTGATATTTGCATTCACTGAAAGCTAGCATTTTATAAAACACCTGCTTAAATCTTTTTTGAATACACATTTAATTGAGTTATCATATCAAGACCTGAGGTTTTCCCTGTTTTATCTAAATACAAGGTTACTATTTACAGGGTTTTTTTTTTTTTTTTTGGACATTCAGGAATTATCTTGAAATTTTAAAAATACAGTTGTTGCTTATAGTCTTCATATATTTAAAAAAATTGTAATCAAGTTTAATTTTCATTCCGTAAGTGCACCCTTATATTTCTACACCTAAGTGGGGCCCTTGCTCATTGGTCAGTTTTCTAGTTTTTTTATTTTTCAAAATTAGTAGTTCATAGAACTTTTATGATGCATTGTTGGTAAATAATTTGATAGTTTAACTTTTACAACATAATTTTGTTTTAGCACAACATAACATTTAGATTTTGACGTAAGCTTTAAGATGCTACATGATCCCGGGGCTTGCTGTTTGGTCCTTTTCTACGTTAGAGGCTAGTGCATGTATATTCCCTAGGGATAATTGTTGGGTCTACAGAGGGAGAAATATTATCCCCTCATAATGAAGGCTATAGAATTTTTGATTGCAAGTGCAATATCGTTTTATCTACAAGAAGACCCGTTGTAAAATTTCTTCTACCAAATGACATAAATGTCCTTGTTAGCTCCATAAAAACGGGTTGGCTCAAGTCTCGACTTATTAGCAGTTCAGTACTCATAGTACTTTGATTGATGCTTAATGCATTTTATAGATAAAAATTCGGACACTTATATCTTACAGATACATGTAAGCCTATTTAGTCTATTCCGATTTGTCAAGAAATTAAAATATATCACATGTCTAGTACTAGCTAGGATAAAGTGCACGCGCACTTGTTCGGCGCGTTATGAAAGTGCACTGATTGACGTTTATGTATGGGTATAAGTTATGAAATATGTCCTAAATTTTGCAGCTATATACCAATGCATAACTAACGAGTCAAAATTAACTTTAATCAAATATTGAAAAACAAAAATAGGAACCTACAATAGATATCACCAACTGTTTGGCCCAAACAAACGAACTCTTTATACCGTGGTTACATGAATTAATCATGTTTATATATTTTTCAAAAATTATGGCCAAGAACCATATAGTGAAATTATGGAAAAAATAACAAATCTAAATGATTTTATTGAACTGTATCACAGCTATTCTACGACAGTAAATGAAAAATATGCCTCGGAATATATTAATGGACAAAGTCACAATTTATAGTTAAGTACTGCAAATATGAGGAGGGGTCAATAGTGGTCAATGAATAAGCACTGGCACGTGACGGATTCACGTTTCCGGTAATAAAATCCAGGTTGACCCAACTCAAACTTTATTTATTTACAAAACCTTTAAATTTTAATCAGTTACTCAAAATTCTTTCATTTCAAATTGTATCATGCATAAAGCATGTAGACTGACGAGCATTTTTTCTGCAGACCGTGCATAAAAAAAACATTACACAACTTGTTTTCCTTTTATTCATACACGTGACAAGTCTCCTCTTTTAAAGCCATAAGGCTCATTGTTATAGTTGAGTAAACCCGTGCTGCAGTAAGATGAAATTCTTGGTGCTGTTATGTTTGGTTGCTTCTGCTGTATGCCAGCAAGGCAACATCGTACAGGTTGCTCAGCAACTTGGTGCAACAACTCTGCTAGAGTTAGCAACGGAAGCAGGTTTGGCAGACACTTTGGCAAACGGAGGTATGTATACTGTAATATAGATGTATTTAAGGGTTTTGCAATAGCTTTAAATTATGTATTAATCACGAATCCCTCAGCAATTTGGGATGTCGATTATTGGGAAACTTCTAAACAGAATTTCGGAAAGTATACCCATAATAAAAACCGAGAAAACTCGTATAAATTGATCGATGTCAGATTTTTAGCCTAGTATCCGAATCCTTTTAAAATAATTGTTAATCTCACCATCGTTTTATTCGATATGTATTAATATCGATTTTATTGGTGGCAGATGAATTGTCAAGGTCCCATTTCACAAGTCTTTGCATTGCATTGTCAGTTTTATAGCATATATATAGGTATCAAGGTAAATTGGCTGCTAATTTCTCAAGGCATTTTCTGAATTTAAAATGGTTTATTTAGCTGTTTTGTTGTTTATGGGGACATCACACAGTACCATCAAATGTTTTTAGAACCCCCCCCCCCCCAAAAAAAAAAAAAAAAATCAACATACATTACAAGGGGATTTTTAAAAAAAAGATATCTCATTTGACAATATATGCCTTTTGCATGTCAATAGGACGAATTCACAAAAATGACCAAACAAGTTTTAGCTGATAATATCTCAAAATTTGTTTTAGATGTGGTGTGCGGCATCATATGAGTCGCACACCTGCAGATTCAATATCGTTGGAGTTAACAAACTTCATGTACTGCTGTGTGTCTTCCAAAAAGAGAATTCCTTGATTTCAGTTAAAAAATGCTTCCGTCTGATATCGTTGATTCCTTTCTCTACAGGTCCTTTCACCGTGTTTGCACCAACCAATGACGCCTTCGCCAAGCTTCCACCAGAAGTATTGGACTTCTTAAAGAAGAACAAGGAAGCCCTTGTGGCGGTCCTGAAATACCACGTTCTCAGTGGCAAGACTTACTCAAGTCAGCTCAAGAACGAGCTGGTGGTACCAACACTAGACCCCAAACTCAACTGTAGAATTAACATCTACCAGAAAGGCAAGGTACGTCCTCCTGTTGCACCGTCATGTTTCAATGCGACAATGACAAGCATACTCGTGCATATTTTTCAATACAGTTTGTAGTTTTTATGTTTGGGTCATTCTTGTCATATAAATACAAAATGCTCTATAGGTGGTTACAGCAGACGGTAGCCCGATCATTAAAGTGGACCAGAACGCCACCAATGGAGTCATACACGTGATCAGTCGTGTGGAATACCCCATCCCCGTCACAAACGTGGTCAAGCTGGCCCAGCAAGACAAACAACTAGGGACATTGGTAAAGGCCGTGGTGGCAGCCGGACTGGTCGGCACTCTCTCAGGTTTGCTCTAACAATAAGTTTGTCAAGGCATTTCTTTGAAATATACCAAAGAATGCTTCAGACAACACATGTACTAGGTACAAAATTATCTGTTACTCTAGGCCCTGGACCATTTACCGTGTTCGCGCCAACAGACAAAGCATTTGCAGCCCTTCCTCCGGGAACACTGGACAACCTTCTTAAGAACAAAACAGCACTTACAGGTACAGATTGTATAAAAGAATGATGTATCTGATGCATTATTGCCGCATACCTTTAGATGAATAGGAGTTGTTTTCTTTGTAGACGTTCTAACGTACCACGTGGTTAGCGGAACTTACTTCAGCGCTGGACTCACTTCCGGGCCTGTTCCAACTGTCGAGGGTAAAAATGTCAACATTGTTGTTGGACAAGGTACGGTAGTCTATGTTCATGCTGTCTTTGGAAAAGAGCTGAAAACATTAACGTCTAATGGCATAATAAATTATACAGACAAAATATCACTGAGGATGTTAGGTCAGCTTTGCTACATATATACCGGTATTACATGCGCTAACCATGATGGAGGAGGCATTAAATTTTGTTATACATTGTATAGCAAATCTTCCGAAATATTCTAGATATGAATTTTGCATTTCGATCAACAACGGCCGGCATATATACTTTCTTCTGAATGCATTAATTCTAGCAAAGAAAATTAAACTTTGTGATGTAGAGATTGGACTTTTAAAAAATACATTTTGCAAGCAAAGCAAAACTGTCTGGTAGAGATAGGATTGATTTCTTCAAAGGACAAGTGACTACACAGGGCGTCACTTGTTCTGCATATGACTGTCACAGTCAAGAGAGAAGATAGACAGAAGGTCCTTTTAGAATGTTTTAAGTTTAGATTTCTATCATATACTTAGAATTATTGTTAGTTTAAAGTGTAAGAAGCTTGAAATCTGAAAATCAAAGCCTACATGTAGAATGAAGTTCCGTTCACAAATCTCTTTGATAATGCTTTTGTTCAAGCTTTCCTTTGTTAACTGGTATACATGTATAAAGAAATTTTGATATACTATATATTTGTAAATCTTTTTGGATCAAAAGTATATATCATGACATTTTTTTTCTCTTGTTTATTCACCAAGTTGTATTATATTGCTCGCTTATTAGTTTCTGATTCAAAAATTTCCTGCACATTCTAAAACAAAAGTCTTTGTAACATGAAAAACTTTTAGTACCATGACAAATTGTGACAATTTTGATATTGCTAAATGCTAACTACAACATTTTGCAGGTCGCAGGGACCGGAGACATCGTCACTATCGAAAAATATACATGTACATGTCAATAATGATGAATATATCACCTTTAATTTTTGTTGTAGGTGTGAAAGTGAATGGGGCCAATGTAGAGCGAGCCGATGAAGCCGTAACTAATGGCGTCGTACACGTCATCGACGCCGTCCTTATCCCTCCGAAGTACAGATACCTCCTCAAATTTGGTTATTGGTTTCAACCTTAGTTGAGCTAGGATACATTTGTTGCTTGTCATAATATTTCTGTGAAACGATTAGATTTTCAGGTGGCTCTCAATTTTTCTTTAAGTTCATGGGAATCTCACAACCACGAAATAACATCCTCGATGAACTTTTATAAAATATGTCATTTCATTTGTACATCTGTTGCTTGTGCGTATACTATTTCTGTCTTAACTATTGTTATTTGCTCAATTGTTTTGCATGGTTCTCAATAAATGTAACTTAATTTTTTTTACTTCATTAACATAGTATATATATATATATATATATTTTTTTTTTTTCAATTAAACAACTGAACTTACTTTGTTGTAATGCATGTATAATGAAATCCTTAGATTTTTTGTAAATAAATTGCTAAAACAACATTAACTCTTTCTTTACCCGTTTTCGCAAAAGAGTGAAAATTAGATCATATGTAGTATTCAATAGTCAATCTGTCAGAAAATAATTCCCTTGGACATAACTCAGTGATGTAGCATCGTGACATGGTATGAAAAATTTAAGCCATTATACCTTACGACAGGTAGACGTCGCGCAAGATACTGGTGATACTTTACGTTACGCTTCTAACGTCACAAGAACGTAAAATAATGCACAAATGCAACGTTATATTTTTGCAATGTAACCTTTTGATTAAGTTTTATATATTCTTCCACCAAACATTAATGTGTGACATTTTAAGAAATAATTGTATTTATACGATTAAAAACCTAACTGTCAACATACTTATAACAAAGGACGAGAAAAGAAGCCATTGCCATCATACCACAACTGTAGAAGGAGTAGCGTTTTAATGGAATTTCACAGACATTTCTATTTTTAGTAACAATGGCAAAACTATTCATCAAAATCAAAAACCGATGCACTATTTTATATATCTTAGTGTAGTCTACTTGTTTGCCAACTTATATTGCAATACAAAACTGTAGGAGGAGTAATGTTTTAAAGGAATTTCACATGAAATTTTTGTTTCTTTTTTTAGTAACCATGGCAACACCGTTCATTGAAATCAAAATCCGATGCATTATTCTATGTATCTTAGTGTAGACTACTTGTGTGCCAAGTTATACTGAAATCAGACCGAAACTGTAGGAGGAGTAAATTTTTAAAGGAATTTCACAGAAAATTCTATTTTTAGTAACAATGGCAACACCGTTCAACGAAATAAAAAACCGATGCACTTTTTTATGTATCTTAGTGTAGTCTACTTGTGTGCCATGTTATATTGAAATCAGATCAAAATTGTAGGAGGAGAAGCGTTTTAAAGGAATTTCACAGAAAATTGTATTATTAGTTACCATGGCAACACCGTTCATCGAAATCAAAAACCGATGCACTATTTAATGTACCTTAGTGTAGTCTACTTGTGTGCCAAGTTATATTGAAATCAGATCAAAATTATAGGAGGAGTAGCGTTTTAAAGGAATTTCACAGAAAATTCTATTTTTAGTAACCATGGCAACACCGTTCATCGAAATCAAAATCCGATGCACTATTTTATGTATCTTTGTGTAGTCTACTTGTATGCCAAGTTATATTAAAATCAGACCAAAACTGTAGGAGGAGTAGCGTTTTGAAAAATTGTTTACAGACAGACGGACAGACAGACAGACAGACAGACGGACGGACGACGGACACCTTACTATCACATAAGCTCTTCTGGTCTCTGACCAGTAGAGCTAAAAACTGATATACAGAATTATGTATCTTAGTGTAGTGTACTTGTGTGCCAAGTTATATTGAAATCAGACCAAAACTGTAGGAGGAGTAGCATTTTAAATGTATTTCAAAGAAATTTCTTTTTTAAGTAACAACGACAACACCGTTCTTTGAAATCAAAAAGCGATACACAGAATTATGTACCTTAGTGTAGTCTACTTGTGTGCCAAGTTATAATAAAATCAGACCAAAACTGTAGGAGGAGTAGCATTTTGAAAGTATTTTTTTAAATTCTATTTTTAGTAACAATGGCAACACCGTTCATCGAAATCCAAAACCGCTATATAGAATTATGTATCTTTGTGTTGTCTACTTGTGTGCCAAGTTATATTGAAATTAGATTAAAACTGTTAGTAGCATTTTGAATGATTTTCACAAATTTTTCTATTTTTAGTAACAACGACAACACCGTTCATCCAAATAAAAAAACGATGTATAGAATTATGTATCTTTGTGTAGTCTACTTGTGTGCCAAGTTATATTGAAATCAGATTAAAACTGTAGGAGGAGTATCATTTTGAATGATTTTCACAAAAAATTCTATTTTTAGTAACAACGGCCACACCGTTCATTGAAATCAAAAACCGATAAACAGAATTATGTATCTTAGTGTAGTCTACTTGTGTGCTACGTTATATTGAAATCAGACCAAAACTGTAGGAGGAGTAGCATTTTGAATGATTTTCACAAAAATTCTATTTTTAGTAACAACGGCCACACTGTTCATTGAAATCAAAAACCGATAAATAGAATTATGTATCTTAGTGTAGTCTACTTGTGTGCCAACTTATATTAAAATCAGACCAAAACTGTAGGAGGAGTAGTATTTTGAATGATTTTCACAAAAATTTCTATTTTTAGTAACAACGGCAACACCGTTCATTGAAATCAAAAACCGATATACAGAATTGTGTATCTTAGTGTAGTCTACTTGTGTGCCAAGTTATATTGAAATCAGATTAAAACTGTAGGAGGAGTAGCATTTTGAATGATTTTCACAAAAAATTCTATTTTTAGTAACAACGGCAACACCGTTCATTGAAATCAAAAACCGATAAAGAGAATTATGTAGTGTAGTCTACTTGTCGGCCAAGTTATATTGAAATCAGACCAAAACTAAAGGAGGGGTAGCATTTTGAATGATTTTCAGAGAAATTTCTATTTTTAGTAACAAGTGCAACACCATTCATTGAAATCAAAAACAGATAATCAGAATTATGTATCTTAGTGTAGTCTACTTGTGTGCCAACTTATATTAAAATCAGACCAAAACTGTAGGAGGAGTAGCATTTTGAATGATTTTCACAAAAATTTCTATTTTTAGTAACAACGGCAACACCGTTCATTGAAATCAAAAACCGATACACAGAATTGTGTATCTTAGTGTAGTCTACTTGTGTGCCAATTTATATTGAAATCAGACCAAAACTGTAGGAGGAGTAGCATTTTGAAAAATTGTTTACAGACGGACAGACAGACAGACAGACAAACAGACAGACGGACGGACGACGGACGCATTACTATCGCATAAGCTCTTCTGGTCTCTGACCAGTAGAGCTAAAAAGATATTACAATATTGTCTACATGATACAACAAATTTTGGGCCCAGAAAGGAATTTCAAAACACAAAATTATATATAGTCCGAAATATTTGACGTTTTTCAGGGTTTTAACGATATTGATATTTTACGTGCATGCCAGGAAAACATATAACATAAAAATGTCTATAACATAAAAATAAAATATTTATATAATTTATTTACTTGAATCTCATTTTATCTTATTTTGGGAAAATTCTTTTAAAAAAAAAAAAAAAATAAGACTGCTATAGGTGTATCCTAAGCTGATGTTGGTGGTAGCTCCGCTAGCTTAACATTTTTCATATTAAACGAGAAGACATGCGCAGATAAGCGGGTGTCAATGGCCAGAACATCCCCTCCCCTCTCCGATTCAAACAATTTATGTAACAAAGAAACCAAAATGGCCGTGGAGCTCCTCTAGAAAACAAGAACACTATGTAAAATGGTAATGAAAGTCCTACATATGACGGAAAGTTATGTATTATTGCCCTTATACCCCCCTCGCCTTCAACAAAGTTTTGTTTTTCTTAATGCACAGATAGAGAATGAGTAACTTTAAAGTATTGTTACTAAATCTCGCGTACTTTTATTGTCCAACAAACGTAAGTATATTAATAACACCGTCATAATTACGGGTAAACTGTTCTTTCAGAAACAAGTGCCCGAAAAATGATATGTAAAGCAACCGTTTCATATTTAATCTCCATTTTTGTATTGTTTTTAGCCGGGCTTATTGCTCAAAGAGCAATTGCAGGCTTATGTCATCCTGTTCAAGGCAGGAAGTCAACCCCATAGTCGCCATTTTAAAGTTACGTGCAAAAATACAGTTCTTACTCTCAACCGCTTTTGAGATAATACAAACGCTAAATAAAGCAACAAAACTAAAACGAAGTTTTATCTATATAAATAAACATTAGTGGTAATGACTGAAAACTTCAGTCCTAAGTCAAAGAACATAATTCATTAGCGTAAGGATTTTTGATAATCAGTGTTATCGTAGTTCTCTACACATACGAGGTTAAGCAGGAGAGGGAACCAGACTGGTCTGTTTGTTTACATTTAGCTGCGGTACCAGATTAATTCTAAAATCGGACCGTGGTATTAGGATTGAAAAACTCACTGGCAGTGTCTTATAATTTATATTGATAGTTTTAAAATAATTTTTTCATCAGAATATAAACGTGATTCATGTAAGAAATTCATTCTACTCTGTAAATGAGCCCGGCTCTCTGTACTTCTGAGTACTTTGATTTTTTTTCTCAAACAATAATGTTAAAAATCGCCAAATAGTGAAATATTTATAAATGCTTGAAGTTTTCATTTAGTGCTATTAGCTTTAAATTTTCCTGTATGTTCAATTTTCATTTTTGCGTTTGACGATTTTACAATCACCTATACGTCCCAGTACAGGAAAATCCCAATGGTTACTTTTAAGATGAAGTCAAGAAAAAAATATCAATTTTGTCTTCGGAAAACATATTGTTTGAAATCAAGTCTTGCGTATTTTGATCGATTATCCCCTCGCAACGGTGTATGTTAGGGTGTGTTCGTTACTTAAGTCGTGCGAAACTCAAGTGAAGTAATCTGCATCGGGATCGATGTCGAGTGCTACATATTCTCTTTGCAAAGGGGATCATGCTCTGCTTGCTGTTGTTGTGATATTTTTGCTCGTTAGGGACTTCAGCCACAAAATAACCCAAATCTCCCAAATAAGTGATGTCAAATTGGAGGATTTTTAGCAAATAGTTACTAGTTTAATTATACTCTCCGAACGAGTACACGGTTATTGGGGTGAATTTTACACCTCTCAACCACAGGTGGTAAAAATAAGAAGGGATGCCCTAATACGAAACAAGTGCCTGTTTTCTCTTAATTCCTGTATCAACCTTGCTAGTGAGACATATGAAATGATACTCCCTGTTTTACTTCATTATTTAATCTTTTATCCTCCTTGCATGCAGACTTATCCTATTTCTATATTCATCTAGTCTTTTATAATCATTGTACAGATATTTATATATATTTAACAAATACGTACTACAAATGAACCTTATGTTCAATCATAAACGC